ACACATAGCCATTAATGTCTAAACCGCTGGCCACGAAAGTGAGTACACCCCTAAGTGAAAATGTCAAAATTGGTCCCAAAGTCTCAATATTTTGTGTGGCCACCATTATTTTCCAGCACTGCCTTAACTCTCTTGTGCATGGAGTTCACCAGAGCTTCACAGGTTGCCACTGGAGTCCTCTTCCACTCCTCCATGACGACATCATGGAGCTGGTGGATGTTAGAGACCTTGCGCTCCTCCACCTTCCGTTTGAGGATGCCCATGCTTGGCCAATCCATCACCTTTACCCTCAGCTTCTTTAGCAAGGCAGTGGTCATCTTGGAGGTGTGTTTGGGGTCGTTATCATGTTGGAATACTGCCCTGCGGCCCAGTCTCCGAAGTGAGGGGATCATGCTCTGCTTCAGTATGTCACAGTACATGTTGGCATTCATGGTTCCCTCAATGAACTGTAGCTCCCCAGTGCCGGCAGCACTCATGCAGCCCCAGACCATGACACTCCCACCACCATGCTTGACTGTAGGCAAGACACGCTTGTCTTTGTACTCCTCACCTGGTTGCCGCCACACACGCTTGACATTATCTGAACCAAATAAGTTTATCTTGGTCTCATCAGACCACAGGACATGGTTCCAGTAATCCATGTCCGTAGTCTGCTTGTCTTCAGCAAACTGTTTGCGGGCTTTCTTGTGCATCATCTTTAGAAGAGGCTTCCTTCTGGGACGACAGCCATGCAGACCAATTTGACGCAGTGTGCGCATCAAGGCTGACCCCCCACCCCTTCAACCTCTGCAGCAAAGCTGGCAGCACTCATACGTCTATTTCCCAAACACAACCTCTGGATATGACGCTGAGCACGTGCACTCAACTTCTTTGGTCGACCATGGCGAGGCCTGTTCTGAGTGGAACCTGTCCTGTTAAACTGCTGTATGGTCTTGGCCACCGTGCTGCAGCTCAGTTTCAGGGTCTTGGCAATCTTCTTATAGCCTATGCCATCTTTATGTAGAGCAACAATTCTTTTTTTCAGATCCTCAGAGAGTTCTTTGCCATGAGGTGCCATGTTGAACTTCCAGTGACCAGTATGAGAGAGTGAGAGTGATAACACCAAATTTAACACACCTGCTCTCCATTCACACCTGAGACCTTGTAACACTAATGAGTCACATGACACCGGGGAGAGAAAATGGCTAATTGGGCCCAATTTGGACATTTTCACTTAGGGGTGTACTCACTTTTGTGGCCAGCGGTTTAGACATTAATGGCTGTGTGTTGAGTTATTTTGAGGGGACAGCAAATTTACACTGTTATAAAAGCTGTACACTCACTACTTTACATTGTAGCAAAGTGTAATTTCTTCAGTGTTGTCACATGAAAATATATAATAAAAAATTTATTTACAAAAATGTGAGGGGTGTACTCACTTCTGTGAGATACTGTGTATATAGTATAGTATATAAATAGTTTTTTCTATTGTACTGCTCTTAAGGAATACTGTGATTCCACTGCAACATGTACTGTATGTTGTCACAAGTTGTCACTATTTCACTTCACTAAAATGTTTACTAATGTAGTCTTCCTTCCTTCCTGTCTCTCTCTCTCTCTCTCTCTCTCTCTCTCTGCCAGTGTGTGGCTGTGATTTGGCACATTCCGGATTCTCTCTCTCTCTCTCTCTCTCTCTCTCTCTCTCTATATATATATATATATATATATATATATATATATATATATATATAAAGGAATGTATTATTTGATTCAACATGAAATTTATTACATATAAACATTTAGGCTACAACGGCCTAACATAAACTATAGAACATAAAATAAGATAATATGAGAAACTTTGCAGTGTTTTTTTTTTATTCATACAATGAAAATCATTGGTAACCAAATCAGCTTGGTTACCAATATTCTTCTTTTTCTTCTGGTTACCAACATTCTTCAATGTTCAATAAAAGTAAGTTAGTGATACAGGTTTGAAACGACATAAGGGTGTGTAAATTATGACAGCATTTTTCTTTTTGGGTAAACTCTCACTTTACTTATTATTATTTTTTATTTTTTAATGAAATGATACTCTAAATAATAAACTAAAACTGCCAGTAGGTGGCAGTAAATGCCTTCATGAGTAAGTCAGTGAGTTATTCAATCATTTGATTCTTTCAAACTGAGGATTCATTCAGGAATGAAGTAAACAGCTTTCTTTATGAATGGGCCATTGAATCATTGGTTCACCCCATTTGTTCAAAATGTGGATTCATTCAGAAACTAATCACTGCTGTGTGTTGCTCAGAGATGCACAACAGTTCTGCTGTGGCTGTATAGGTAATATTTTCATTGTCAAAATTCAGCAAAAACAGACAATATTGTAGCCTATCTAAAATATAACACAATATTAACTCCTTATTTACTGAACTGTTATATAAAATCACATTTGCACTCATGCTATTCGGAACAAAACAACACTCGTGTGATATCGCTTATCATATGATATAAATATGAGACAAAATTTGGGGCATTTTTGCCCCAATATCTGACATTTTTAAGGGCATATATCTGCTTTTAATAGACTACATCACGCAGTGAGTTGTTGCCCTGCATCATGTTTGTCAGCGGTCAACTGTATGAAATATAAGATGACGTACAGGTCAGGGGCGGGTGTGTTAATTGTGTTCAAATATTTTAATCACGTTATTTTTCCGTGACTAATTAATTCAATTAATGTGGTAAAACCACAGCCCTAATATATATATATATATATACATATTAAGAAAAATAAAGCAAATCAAAATGACAAAAACAACAAAATTACTAAAACTTAAACTAAAATTAAAGTGAAATTTTTTTTTTAATTCAATTTGAAATATGAACTTAAGCTATAATAGTATATCAATTATTCATGTAGTTATTAATGCAGTAAGTCTGAGTTTGGAGTTTATGTATGCTACAAAATCATTCTAAGCCTACTGGTGTATTGCACAATATAGGCCTCAACTCTATACTGCCTATATGTTTTAATAATAGTGTGTAAAATGAAATGCAATATGCAAAGATAAATGTACAAGTAAGGTCCACACTATGCTGCATGTCCAAAGTGAGTGACATCCAGTTGTTTTTAAACTTTTAGCAGTTGGATCCATGTTGTTGTTGTTTTTGTGCAGTGAGGTGAGGGAGTGTCTGAAACTGGACCCGGATCATAAGCAGTGCTTCAGCCACTACAAACAAGTCAAGAAGCTCAACAAACAGATACAAGCTGCTGAGGAACTGATCCAGCAGGACAAGTATGCCTTAATATTGCTGTATTTTGTAAATGATGATGATGATAATAATAATAATAATGTATAACATGATAAACAAAACATTTATAAGAATATAACATCAATAATAATTATAATAATAATATTGTGATATATAATATTACTTATACACTACCATTCAGTTTGGGGTCTGTAATAAAAAAAAGAAAAGAAAAGTATTTTATGCTCACCAAGGCTGCATTTATTTGATTAAAATACAGTAGAAACAGTAATATTATGAAATATCATTACAATTTAAAATGACTCATTTCTATTTTAATATATTTAAAAATGTAATTCATTTCTGTGATGGCAAAGATGAATTTTCAGCAGTCATTTCAGTTTTCAGTGTCACATGATTCTTCAGAAATCATTCTAATATGCTGACTTGGTACTCAAAAAACATTTCCTATTATTATCAATGTTGAAAACAGTTGTACTACTTAATATTTTTGTGGAAACATTAATACATTTTTTTCAGGGTTCTTTAATTAATAGAAAAGGCAGTTTAAAAGAACTGCATTTATTTGAAATAGAATATTCTGTACTGCCACTTTTGATAAATTGAATGCCTCCTTGCTGAATAAAAGTATTTTATTTCATAAAAAATGTGAAACACATGAAGAGAATGTACACTCATTCAGTGTAAATGATTGTTTTACTAAATCCACAGGTACAGCGATGTAGTTAGTAAATATGAGTCTGTTATAAAGACTGAACCAAATGTTCCTCAATTCATACTTAATGCCAAAGAACGCATATGCCACTGTTTGTCAAAGGTGAGACTGAGCTACTTGACCACAAGATGTCACCATCTACCAAAGCATACACTGCACCTGTGTTTAACTGATGTGAGTGAATGTTTTGATCTTATTCCTCAGGACCAGCAACTGCCAATGCCGTCTCAGTGTGCAGTGAAGTTCTGAAAGCAGACCCTCAGAATGTGAATGTTTTAAAAGACAGAGCAGAAGCCTGCCTCCAGGATGACCAATATGAAGAAGGTAGAGATGGATACATGGACACATTTTTTTTAAGTTGAACAATTGTAACAGTTTTTGTGTTATAAATAACTGAATAATGATATATATATATATATATACACACTGTATATATTATCATTCTTTATCAGTATTTTCTGTGGTGATAATTAAAAAAAAGTCTTTAAAATACCCCCTTAAAAATAAGGTGCTGCCTAAGACACAGTTGTGTAATTTCCTATGGAAGACTTTTGAAAGAAAAAAAAAACAATTCTAAGTTTTGTTTTTCATGTTCAGCAGTACTTTTGTACTCTGCTGTTTTAAAGATTGAGCAAATTGGTTACTTTCAATACTTTTTCCTCAAGATTGCTCTTAAAATTATGAGATGAAGTGATAGAATTGTGTTCTTTTTGCAGCCATTAAGGACTTTGAGAGTGCTAAAGAACATAGTGAGAATGACCGGCAGATTAAGGAGGGCCTGGAGCGAACACAGCGGCTCCTCAAACAGTCCCAGAAGAGAGATTACTACAAGATCCTGGGTGTAAAGAGGTTAGAAAATACATACAACCAATCTCTCATCACTATATCATTTGTTAATCAATGCAGAGGCCCAATACTCATTTAAAAGTAAGTAAACACTCTTATTAAACTGCTGTGGTTGCAGAACCGCCCAAAAGAAAGATATCCTGAAAGCATACAGAAAGCTGGTGCAGCAGTGGCATCCAGACAATTTCCAGGACGCAGAAGAAAAGAAAAAGGCAGAGAAGTTGTTCATAGACATCGCTCAAGCCAAAGAAGTTCTCACCAACCCGGGTATATTTTAGTGCCACATCTGGTTTAAGCCAGCAACATTTCACCATTTGTTTGGTTAAGGTTCTGTGATAACTTCGTCCCGTTCTTCTGTTTGACTGCAGAGATGAGGAGTAAGTTTGACGAGGGCGAGGACCCCATGGATCCAGAGAGTCAGCAGGGTGGGGGACATCACCACCACTTCCATGGTGGCTGGGACAACTTCCAGGGATTCAATCCTTTTGGTTCTGGACCTTTTAATTTCAAATTCAGTTTCAATTAAGGCTCGGCTGAGTAGACCTAGGGCCTGGATATGTGCTGGAGTCAGCCAACAGGAACTGGCACCTTCTGAACCTGCCCACAGGCACGGTTCTGACATGACAAGCGCCTTGAAACGCACATCTCACGCTGTCAAGTGACCCCGCTTGCTAACCATCTTTCTTTGAAGCAGCTCCTATACCTTCAGGGATCTTACAATGCGGAGCACAAGGCTAATAGCCAAGCTACATCTGTTAGCTTTGACTGTTTTACTCCCGAGAATAATATGTACATAGAAAACAATACTATTTTTCTATGAATCAAACAATGTAAATAATGAAATAAAGAGATATGAATGCTTATTTAAATTAACAGGACTTTTTGGTCTGTTTTCACTGAAAATCCATGACTGAATTGACGGAGTCATTTAGATTAATCAAATTAACTGTGCAGTCAAACTCTTTTACACTGTAAAAAACAAGTTAACATTAAAATGAATGACTTTAAAACTCCCAGTATATCATAAATGACTTATATCCCCTTTCAGAATAAAAATATCACTTTATTCCTGAGAAAATCCACATATTTGAACATCAAGGCATAGAAAAATGTTATTGATGTAATAAAAATAAAACGGGGAATGTAAAAGATCTGTCACTTTAACAGCAATGAACATGGGACTTTGACCCCCCCCCCCATCCCATAATAGTTTACAATTGTATAGTTTATTCTGGAAATATACTGTACATCTTCGAGAGCTCTAGGTTCAGTCTTTCAACATATCAAGGCAATTTAAAAGTGAATTTATTAGTGAGACCTTTGAAATCACAGATACCTTTCATTTGCAAACACGGACTTAAAATATGATGACAGAATATTTACTGAAACTGTTACAAAAAAGAAACCGTATAAACATTTATAGTCTTCTCTGGAGGAATGTACACAATATTGACATGTTTGTCCTTTATAAATATACACCAATACCATTGCAAGTTCATAAACTGGCCAAAAATATCAGATAACACTGCAATTGTTTTAACTTTTTGCCAACCATTATTTATAAAAAAAAGCTGTGTCATTTATACAGTTTACATCTTGAAGTCAGAGAGGATTCAAACTAAACCATTCAAAATCATGTACATAAAAAAATGTCATGAAGTCCTTTAAAACGTTTCCTAGTGTGTATTTCCTCAGTGTTCCTGTCGTAGAAAACATCTCTGTATGGTTGAGTTCAAGATTCACAGGAAGACTGGTGCAATATGAGCACTCAAGTGCTAAAGTTCATCACGTCGCGTGCCTGCTAAAATACAGATGACGTTCATGAGATGTCATTTAACCACAAGGCTTACTAGAAAAAAAATATTGTCATTTTAGCGATGACTAAGTCTTACCTGTGTGCTGTGGTGGTGGTGGTGGTGATGATGATGGTCTACCCTCGGTAATTTTCTCCTTCTGCTCCTTCACCTGCAAAAAAAGCTGTCATTTATACAGTTTACATCTTGAAGTCAGAGAGGATTCAAACTAAACCATTCAAAATCATGTACATAAAAAAATGTCATGAAGTCCTTTAAAACGTTTCCTAGTGTGTATTTCCTCAGTGTTCCTGTCGTAGAAAACATCTCTGTATGGTTGAGTTCAAGATTCACAGGAAGACTGGTGCAATATGAGCACTCAAGTGCTAAAGTTCATCACGTCGCGTGCCTGCTAAAATACAGATGACGTTCATGAGATGTCATTTAACCACAAGGCTTACTAGAAAAAAAATATTGTCATTTTAGCGATGACTAAGTCTTACCTGTGTGCTGTGGTGGTGGTGATGATGATGGTCTACCCTCGGTAATTTTCTCCTTCTGCTCCTTCACCTGTTTGAGAAACTGCTTTATCTCATTGTCATACTTGGACCATTCTGGAACAATCCTCACCGCTGCACTTAACTTGGGCTCTTTGGTCTTCGGGTTATTGCACTGCAATAAATCAACACAAAGAAAACAGTCAATTGTGGTGGCAAAACATTTCCTTCAACCTTTTCCATCAGTGCTTTGAGTGGCCTTATTTAATTTCTTGAGCACTTCAAGTGAACCCTGACAATGCCGTTCATCTATAATAAAGCTTGATATCAACACTTTCATGACTTCTGAGTCCCAAAACACATTTTTACTGACACAGAAAGTTCAGAAAAGTTACGTCACATCTGAGAATAGGCAGCTAAACAAAAAGCATACCACAAATGAGCTCAAACTGGTTACTAGTTTAGACCCACAAGTTGAGAGCCAGCACTTTCACTGTTTAAACAAAAAATATTAACCGTTTTCAACATTGATAATAAGAAATGTTTCTCAAGCATCAAAATACACATATTAGAATGATTTCTGATAGAAATAGAAAAAAGGGATTTTTAAATTGTAATATTTCACACAATTACTGTTTTTACTGTATTCTGATCAAATATAGAGAAATCTTTATCTCTTTATAAAAAGTAGTGTATATTAAGAATAAATTAACATTCACACGCAACATTATAGTGTAAGTTTAAAGAAACATGAGGCTTAAAGTTGAAGACTCAGCTTTTCTGAAGAATCATCAGATTTATATAAAGAATGTGTTCATAGTGCACAGAAAAGTAGCAGCAACTGTGTCAGTCCCCAAGGACAATCTTTATTGCTTAATATACAAGTCAGGGAAGAAGGCTAATGACAAACAATGGCTAAATACACTAGATCAATTGTATGTCTGAATTGAGAAACTGAATCTATGCAATTAACATTGCATTCAAGTTTCTATTAATTATTTTCTGGTCAGCTGATCAATATATATATATATATCTAAAATGGATTGAACTTTTTTCAGAATGTAGCACCTAGACGTTTTTAAAAACAGCAAAATTAATGAGCAGGAGAAAACTATACATTATTATGTAATGGTAAAGCAATGATATTATGGGGTGACTGCAACCACAAGTTGACACGAAAATAAAAGAATAAAATAAACCAAAAGAAATTGCAATTGCCCACACAACACTGCAGTAAGACTTTCACAACTAAATTTAGTATCCATTAATGAGGCGAGAGTGCTGGATGGAATGCAGAGGTCAGCACTCTTCTAAACCTGCGTCAGACCTGAGTCCAGCCTGTGCTGTGGAGCTGCCTGCAGCCCTCACACCCATTTCCCTCACTGCCGTCTCTAATGAGACGTTTCCTTCTACACCTCCCAGGAGCAGCCGGCAGGGAGGACGAGGGTGTAAATGAGACTTCTATTTTTGTCGCTCTATGTATGTGCATTAGTGTGAATGAAGAAATCTGGTTATGATCAGACTACAGGCATTTCAAGCTGATTTCACCTCACATATAGTCTACTGAAGGTGCTCGTTTGTGAAATGAAACAAAGTAAATTGATCTTTATTGGTGCAGTTATAATCATTGCCAAATACCTTATGTGGTTTTATGCTGGAGGATATAAAATATCTAAAATCTAACATTTATCAGTAACACTGTGCAATAAGGATTCATTAATGTTCATGTTTGCTAATGTATTAACTCATTTTAACAAATGAGAAGTTATTGTAAAACTCATTAACTTTTTAATCGGTCACAACTTCAATTATATTCTCAGTCAAGGTAAGGTCACACTTACTGTTGTTTGACAAAATTTCACCAGTGACACCTAGTCATTTCAATAGGAATCTGTGCGATTTGGAATTTAACATGAGGGCACAAAGCTCCTCATGCAGATTTTGCTTGTGTTTAGGTTGGTCACAAATTTACAAAATGACCAACAGAGAGCTGCTTAGGTTGAAATTGAATTGTCTGCTCACGAAATTTCCCTGAAATGCCTTTAATGTGACCGACCTCACATATAGTCTACTGAAGGTGCTCGTTTGTGAAATGAAACAAAGTAAATTGATCTTTATTGGTGCAGTTATAATCATTGCCAAATACCTTATGTGGTTTTATGCTGGAGGATATAAAATATCTAAAATCTAACATTTATCAGTAACACTGTGCAATAAGGATTCATTAATGTTAATGTTTGCTAATGCATTTTAACAAATGAGAAGTTATTGTAAAACTCATTAACTTTTTAATCGGTCACAACTTCAATTATATTCTCAGTCAAGGTAAGGTCACACTTACTGTTGTTTGACAAAATTTCACCAGTGACACCTAGTCATTTCAATAGGAATCTGTGCGATTTGGAATTTAACATGAGGGCACAAAGCTCCTCATGCAGATTTTGCTTGTGTTTAGGTTGGTCACAAATTTACAAAATGACCAACAGAAAGCTGCTTAGGTTGAAATTGAATTGTCTGCTCACGAAATTTCCCTGAAATGCCTTTAATGTGACCACACCTTCACAATTAAAATATCTATGCAAACCGTCACTCTTCTGGTAATCCTTTTACATACCATGCTAAAGTTTCTTGTTTTACTGCCTGTTTTACCGTTTACAGTGTGGTGTGAATGCATACTAACCAGATCTATGGTCTTGGCTGTAGCTTTGGAACTGTCATCACACCAGGTCTCACACCACAGCCACTCCTGAGGTAAGGACTTGATGGCTACTTGATGGATCATGTTGTTGGGAAGGTCCTGTTAGCATCAAACCCCATAGAGAACATTCAAAACACATGAAAGTCCTCCTCTAATGGTGAGCATGTGTGTTATCAAGCACATACCTGGTCTAGGTTGGACAGACTGTTGGGATCTTGGCTTAAGGCTTGGTACTGCCCTCTGAGCCGGTCTCCAGCTGCGATCTTTCTGAATTTTTTTAGGTCCACTACATATAATGCACTGGAGAAAGAGGGAAAGACTGGAGATTTATTCAATGTTACACATTTCACAATATGATATAACAACAGAATCCTCTCAAAACATTTTAAAATGTTATAGCAATCTATAATCCAGTGGTTCTCAATTCCAGTCCTGGCGACCCACCGCTCTGCATATTTGGCGTGTCTCTTTTTTTTTTTAACACACCTGATTCAGATAACCAGCTCGTTAGAAGAGAGCTCCATGCATGAACTGTGTTCAGATTTACATGGTCCCTACACAGTGTTCATTGCTCCCTACTCCCTGAGCATGGAAAATCCGTTGAAGTTTACTTCACTTTGGAACATTCACTCATGGATTTGCACAACGCCACAGCCTGCAGCGTCTTCACACACAGATGAAACTTACTAGAGAAGTGTGAGCTGCGACAAAATATACCTCTGTAAATAAACACAATTTAAATTCACGCCTCACACACTTTAATGCACTTAGAATGGAACATATACGCT